AAAAAAAATACTATATCCATAGGTCTAGCTTAGCTAGATTCTTTAATTAGCCTAAAGCTGTTCCAATAGCTAAAGCTCCATCGTCACCAACTTAATTATCACTTGAATATAAAATAATTTATTAAAATATTGATTAAGATATTTAATTAATAAATTATTTTTTTAAAATTGTTTCCATATGATTAAATTAGTTTTTATGTAATAAAATTATGAAAAATTTTAAACATAAAAAGCAAAAAAAATAATAAATGGTATTTACATTAGACTTATTTCCAACTATTTGATCTTCGTAAAATTGCTTAGGGAATTTACTAAAATGGAGACTCCTATATCTCCTATTTTTGCATAACTATTTTATGTAATTAAAAAAATAATTAATTTATCTTGAGAAAAGAAAAACATAATATTGTAAATTAACAAAAATTTAAATTATTAAACAAGATTTTACAGATATTTTATTAAAAATAACTTTTTATTAAGCAGAATTCTTTAAAAAATTAAGATTTGAAAATATAAAATTTAAAAGGCATAAACAAGTAAGTAAGTTATTTGAAATTAAATATCTGTTATTAATACAAAAAAATATAATCTGATTAAAAATTACTAGAAAAATAATTATAAGCTTATTAAGTTTTTGTAATGAGCTAGAGCTTCGCTTACTTCTATTACTCTTTTTTCACTTACATTTCTACCGCTTTTTTAAAAATAATTAGTTAAAAAATACATTTATAATTTTTGAATTGAAAAAAGTAATTAAATCTAAAAAAACTTTTTAGAATGAATTGTTTATTTAAAAAATTTTTAAATTTAATATTAAAAGCAATTTTATAAGTAATCGAAATTAATTTTTATATTTTTACTTTGTTCTTAAACTCAATTCTATAGTGTCCCTTTTATCAGAGTTAATAAACTTTAATTTAGCATAAAAATATTTTATAAATATAATATTGAAGAAAATAGTAATAACTTTTTCTAAGTCGTCAAAGATTTCTTTCTGCGAAATCATTTTTTTTACTTTTACTTTTATTTATAACTATTCAATTAATAATATTAATTAATTAATCTTTATTACTTTCTGAAAGAAATTCAAGCATGCAATTTAAATTTCAAAATGAACTTTATTATTTCAAATCTAATAATTTAAAAAATTTAAATAAATATAATACTATAAGTTTTAATTATTAACCTCCACAGAATTATGAAAAAAATTTAGGTATTATTGAGTGAGGGATTTATTATATAATATACTGTTTTAACCAAATTTTATTCAGTTAAGTTGAGTAAATGTTTATTCGATAGTTGGGAGAATATTTTTTATTTTAATAATAATAATTTAGTTATTTGCCAAATATCTTGTGAAAGCAATCTATTTTTGACCTAATAATTAGTGGATATGCATTTTTTTATTGAATATTTTATTTATTTTTTAGTAATTAAGTTGGTTTAAATATAATATTATTTAAAATAAAATAACAATTTTCAAAAATTTATAATTTTATTAAAAAATACAAAATTAAACAGTAAAATTTCCCAATTAATTTTTATTATATGTATAATTGTTCTCTCTCAATATACAATAAATATTTTTAAAAATAAAAAAATATTATTTATAATTAAAACTATTTATTTATCATAAATATAATTATTTTTATTTATTCATCAATAATAATTAATTAATATAAAAAAAACTTTTATTTAAATATTGTTTTAAATTAGATAAAGATAATTATCACTAACTCATTCATTTGAAATTTCAAAGGATAGTAAAGAATTTCTTGAATTATCTAAGTTGTATAAGAACTGCATTTTTTTAGCACATGAAATCATTTTTTTAATATTTTTATTTATTCTTATATTATTTGTAGATTTGAATCTCTAAATGCATTTCCATTTGATGCATTTTTATAATTTTTATATTTATTTCTCTAAAAATGATGTCAGTATCAACCATATACAATAAAAGAAAAATATCATGTTTATTACCTAAATTAATAAGTAAAATACTATTTTAAAATTTTAATAGTTATCGATTTAGCTCTAATTTTATTGCAAGAACATTATAGAAGAGAGTAATATAATATTTGAAATAATTATTGATATTTTTTCTAAGTTATTGAGGAACCATGAGACGAAAGGATTGAAGCTATTTAATGCCAAAACATATCCGAATAATATCAATGAAATCATTATGAGACTTACTTAAGGATACTACTTTAAGCATACTGAAAATAAAACTATCAAACTTTTCACTAAAATTCTAATCATCTCCCAATAGAAAAATTTAACTTTATATTCATTAAATAAAAACCCAAATGTAAACATAACTTTCACTTTTTTCAATCTATAGCGAGATTAAAACAATTTAAAAAAAACAATTGCAGGGAAAGTTATCATAAATAAGATTAATATCACTAAGCTTAGATTTTATATTTTTTAGAGGTCTGAAGAATTTCCACATTCCAAACTTAGATCGATAAGAGAATAATATTTATCCTTGTCAAGGTTTAGACAAAAGAAACTAGATAGAGTTTTTTCTAATAGAATTGAGTAAAAAACTATTATAAATATGTATACAGAAGTAAGGAGAGTTGCATAAAGACTCCTTCTGAATAGCTTTCTTTTGAAAATAAATACACTTATTGATATAAAAATGGTAATTGAGCTAATCAATAATGGTATAATAAATGTAATAAGAAGATCTGTATATCCCATACTCACAGATTCAGGTTTATACTGAGAAATTAAGCAGTCTAAAGAGAAGAAAGGGGAACTTAAAGGATTGTAAAATAAGAATTAAAACTCAAAAAAAGTGGAAATTATATCAACTTATGTGAATTGACTTGATATGAAATAGACTTAAATATGAAATAGTAAGATTTTAATGTAAGTAGAAGTCAGTGTTTATTTTTAAAGTGTTTTTCCTATGAAGAAAATTTCCATCTTAGATAAATAAAGTGCATAAATTTCGTTTTTTAGCTTTTTAAATGTTGAAACCAAAATAAATATGAGGCTTAACACCAGCACAACAATTAATACTGTAATTTTAACTGTATTAGAAGATATTGAATTACACTTTACACATTAAAAGAAGCCCACTATAGAATACTTTTCATTCCAATAGGCACCATAAATATCACAATTTAAACACTAAGCTCCTACATGACCTTCATAACAAAGCTCATTTCCAATTCCACTACCTTATTTATTTAGAAATAAATTATTATAATATTCAATTAAAAAATATAGTTGGAAATAATAAAATTTACTTACCTCCTTAACAACTTTCAGGATTATTAGCACAATAATAAATATCTTATTAATCTACAGAATATATAGATCTCCAATAAGATTTTTTTAGTTCTGAGTAATTTCCATAACACTATGAGAATTAATCTGCTTAACAATTTTGACATACTCCATTGTAGCTAACCTTTGTTTGCTCGCAGTACTTACATATGAAGAATATATTTTACTGGTTATTTAAATAAATTTTTTCCATTCCTTGCTCTTTACATCCATTGTATATTTTATACTAACTTGTTCTTAAAATTTATAATTATGCTAAGTAAATTCGAATATCTTCTAAATCTATTGCTTACTTACCATCAAACTGTACATCTTAAGCAGTCCATACTAGGAAGGGATAATTTATAGAAAAGAGCTGGGCAGGAATAGTAGATATGAAATTATTAGAAGGTGAGACTAAAAAATTGTAAAGATTACCAAAATTGTTTTTATCAGTATATTGATCATACAACTTTCCATCTAGTTCAATTGAAAATCTTATAATATAAGTCAAACCAGGGTATAAATATTGGTCAGTTTTTATAAATACATTTGAATTATTTTGATTGTTATTATTTATTTCTAAAATTTCTTCAATTATTAATTTCATAGCTTATTTGTTATAATTTTTAGCTGCTAAGAAACCTGTATTTCCAGAAAATTAATTTGAATCTATTATGTTGCTTTATTAAATAAAATATATAGCACCACCTATTTAGCTATTACAATTAATAAATTTATTTTCAGAATCAATATTTGAAATTCCTGATATTGCTCCACCTAAGTATTTGCTTTTGCATTATATAAATGTATTTTGTGAAATAGAGAATTTAGATAATTAATTTGTCTGAAAGGTGTTAATAAAATTTAAGCAGCCACCAAAGCTAATTGAAGATCCTTTAATTATTTGCGAACGCTCTAGGATAAAACTAGAAAAACCATTTAAATTTAAAAATTAAATATTATTTTATGATTATAAATCAGCAACTATTTCTTCAAAGTATACCTCATTTAAGCTCTATATATATTCTTATTCTATTAAAAATATTGTAACTTGAACTAAATTTGTATTGACTTAGCTAATTATGATTGATTAAAACAAACTTTAATCTAAATTTTTTAAATTAAACAAAGAGACCTAATTAATCTATATTTATTAAATGTTAGTTTTCTCAAGTCGAAAATATAAAACTTGATTTGCTTTTATTAAAAATTGATCAAAAATTGTATTCGATACTTTGAAATTTAAGATCCAAATAGTGTCAAAACTTTGTAAATCTATCAAATTTGAATAAATTTATAAAGAAGAGACTTAAATTTCTTTTATTTTAAAGCTTACACCATTAGAACCTTAAACAAGTGATCCACACAATAAATCGCTTTAAGACATAGTAACAGAGTTAATCTCAATAGTCTTAGTATTAAAAAATTTAAATAAACTCTATTCACTTTATGGTTAAATATATTAAGAATATCCTTCTACATCCAATGCATCTATCTAAAATATTTAAATATGCATTATATTTACTTACAAAAAGCTATTGATATTATTTTATTTGTAAATAAATTTATTAATGTATATTTATCCTTCTAAAGTTTTCTGTTGAAAGAATTATAATACTTAAAAGTGAGGAGTACTTACCAATGATGTAGCGTATGATATCTAACCTATTTAGATATTTTGAATTTATTTTTCGGTCTCAATATAAAAATTAATAATCTCTGTTATTGGTTGGGAATTTAAAATAGAAAAGTTATTTATTTCTATATCAATATTCTAGATAATTATTTCTGATTCTGTAAAATAAATTTACTTCATATTAAATATATTAGATTATTAGAATTATTCATTGCGTTAGATTTTTAAATTATTTATTTTCATCTGATTTTTACTTGTTATTTAAAAATAACTCACTAAAGTATTATCAAAATTAACTTGATCAATATTAATATCAACTGCAAAAATATCCATAGATTAAGTACCATAGAGATCCTTTAACAATATTTTACCAATCATTAATTAGATGATGAAATCAGTCTAAATAATATTAGAGAAATCTTTACTATTAGTAATACTCAAATTTTATATGCTTAAACTATTTATGCTTTTAAATTATATAAAATATTAAGATGATGAAGCTTTAATATTTGATAAAACTAAATTTCCCATATTAATAACAACTATATCTGAGATCAATACTGAGGAAGTAATTGTTATATCGACTAATTATAAATCAAAATTTAACTGATTTTAATTTTATATTAATATTTAATTGTCTGAACATGAATAAGATATTTTTTATAGCTCAAGTTATTAAATTATATTAACATCACAACTTTAATCTTGAATATTGTTTTTAATTTCACTTTGGCTCAAGGATATTTCCAATTTAATTATCAAAACTAAAATAACTAGATAAATCTTCTAATTTTTCATTTAATTAAATTTTTATCAATTTCTTTTTTGGATTTTTTTTTAATCAATTTATTTTTTTATTATCTTTTATTAATTAAAATAAATTGATCTATCCTTTTTATTTGTGAAAAACCAAATTAAAAAAATTACTTTTTATTGATAAAAAAAAGTATAATTTTTTCAGATTTTTAATCAATCAATAATTTTAATTCTTCATATGAAATTCTTTTCAAATAAAAAATTTCTTATCATCAATTTTCCTCAAATAAGAAAAAAATCACCTCTTTTTCTTTTAGGAATCTATGTAAAGTAAACACATATTAGCTTATTTCTTTAAAAATTTAAGGTTAAATTTGATTAACTTGAAAGAATGTAATTCTAAATATCATTTTTTTAAAAAAATCCATTTTTTATTTTGCATATTAAAAATCTAAAATAAACTAAATTTATACGCAAATAAACTAAATTTATCTCATTTGATTTTTATCAATCAAAAATAGGAAAAAGCTAATTATAATTTGAAAAGATAATTTTCTTTTAGAATTCCTTAATTTTAATCATAGCAAGAATATAAAAGTAATTCAATAAAAATTAACAAATTAATCTTAATAATTAATTTAAAGGCTTTTACAAAAATAACATTTAGTTATTTTTAATAAAGCAAATAAAAACTTTTTTATCCACTTCTTGCTTTTAAATTTAATAATTTAGTTTATTTTTTTTAAAGTAAACTACAAAAATATTATTTAGTTATTTTTAATAAAGTAAGGAAATAATTTTTTCTTGTAATTTAAGCTTTTTTATTTATCAATTTAATTCATTTTTTAAAATTAATCATAAATAGATATTAATGAATTCTCTATTTAATAAAATAAAAATATTATTTCAAGTATTACTCATTTTCAATAAAATCTTGTTAAATATTATTTTTTTTAAAGAGTGAAAAAATTAAATTTTAAAATGATTGAAAAAATAGAAAAAGTTATATTGATAGATAGATAACACAAATATTTCAATAAAATAATAATCAGTAAAGCTTATTTAATGAAATTGATATAAATTATCATTCAAAATATGGATAATCGATGCCATCATCCTCATAATCTTCATATTAATGTACCTAATAATATTAAAAGGTTATTTATAAATTAATAAAATTGATATTTATAAACAATAAAAGTTAAAATAATATTAAAATTAAATTAAAGGGAGGGGGTATTATTTATGAATATTTATTATAAGAGTTTATCTACAAAATTTTAAAACTTATTATAATTTTAATTTTTTTCTAATATTAATTATTTTTTATGATCTTTTATATTTTTTTATTATAAAATAATTACATTTATTCAGAATTGTAATACTTTTAATAATATTAATTTTAAGAGCTCTTATAATTTTATTTATCTATCATAATATTTCTACTATATTTTAGCACTGAACTATAAATAATATTAAAAAAATTTGTTTGTTTGATAATCTTTATTAAAAGGTAGATATTTTCAAAACAAGTAACCCTATTATTTTTTATATTTAATTCTATAGTTTTTTTTATGTTCTATCAAAAGAAATTTTGATCATTATTTTTATGTTTGATCTTACTCTAGATTAACAAGAAATAATTTTGTAAAAATAATGCTGAAATCGAAAATTATCAATTATAAAATGAATGTACTTGATAATAAAGTATATTTTAATTTTTCTATTCTAGTTTAAAATTTTTTTCTCCCTTTATAAACAAAATTGTATTAAATTTTGATAAATAGCTTTTCATTAGCTCTAAAATATAGATAAAATATTTAATCAATAAAAATATACATACTTCTAATACAACTAGTCTTAAAATTTTAAGAGCCTTAATTTTATGCTGAATTTTTTCACTTTTTAGTAATTTAGGTCTTTTATTTAAAATTTATTTTAATTATTTATTTATAAAAATTTTACAAAAAAAAATAATTAAAGATATTAATTATTTAATTCAAAAGGAGATATTTTAGAAAGCAAAAATAATTAGTTTTAAAGAAATTAATAAAGGAAGAAATTTAATAAATTTTCAATAATAATTGAAAAAATGACACTTACTCAAACTGTAGAGTGAGTATCCTAACATTTTTGCAGTTGAGAATATCTCTCGATTTTAACATTTTTTCACTGCCAGAGCTAATAATTTAAAAAATTAAATATTCATAACAAGTAAAAAATATAATTTTTACAAAAAACCATAGAGTAAATATTGCAAGTTTACTAATCCTGCGAGACACTAATCCAATTTTAAATATCCTTCATCTGTTATTTTATTATCTCTTTTATATTTAAAAGATTCTGATTAATTTAAAATCAAAATTTTTATGAAAGATGCAAAGTAAATAAATATTAATTTATATACCCAAAGCCAGCTTTTAATATTTTCAACTAAGTACAATTATTCAAACCTGTCACAATACCTGAAATTCCTCTATCGCCGAATTAATTTCCACTTTTATTTACAAATTTAAAGACATAAATTTTTTTAGAAAATAAATTACTATTTATAAAATATATTCATAGCGAGATGAAATAATATTTTATCAACTACCAAAATAACTTGTAAAATACTTACTTTAACCATAATTATAAATCTTCCAAATGTTTGAATTTTCTTAAAGCTACACCAACTGCATAGGCTCCGTCATCATTGATTTAATTATCACTTTTGTTTAAAATATTTTTTTTAAAATTTAAGAGACAAAATAATTAAATTTCTTTTATTTTAATTTCTTTAAACTAAAATATTTTTTTAAAACAAATAATTAAACTTACCCTAAACTCAAGATTAAATTGGTAATCATAGAAGAATTGCTTAAACCTATTGATATCTTGGTTATGCCTCTATCACCAATATTATTATCACTATAATATTATAAATTATAATTCATAAGCTTAATTAGTTTGAATTATTTAATGAAATATAGGTATAATTACTGAAATCAAAATAAGTTAATAATAAATTCTAATTCAAAGATAATAAAAAATTTTATTAAATATTACTTTAAGTATAAACTTAAATATGTGAGATTTCCAAAGTAACTTAAAGCTTAACCAAATGCATATGCACCTTTATCATCTATTTTATTTCCACTTAACAAAATAAATTACAAAAAATTAATTTCAAAAAAATGAATTTAAGATATTTATTTATCATGAAATAGATATTTAATTCAAAATTAATATATCATTTAAAACTTATAAAAGGTAAGAGTAATCTCATCTCATATTTTCATACATAATATTTCTTATAAATAAACTTAAGTATTTATTTATATTGTTTTTTTAATTTAATTAAATAAAAATTGTAGATAATTAAAATTATGTTTACCTTATAGATAAATCTAACTTGGTTATATCCTTGTATTCTTTTAAATTAGAACTAATTGTTTTAACTCCCTCATAATCTAATTTTTTATTACTATTTTTACAAAAACAAATTATTTTTACTGAATATGAATTTTATTGTTAGTTGAAAAAATTTTGTTTCATACTGAAAAAATTCATGTAATGAATATTTACTGAGTTTTAAACTTAAATTCTATATCTTTTAATTTAAAAAAATAAGTAATTATATGAGTTTACATTAACCATATTGAGAGACTCGTTATAGCATTTTCTTTGGATTTTACAAACTTTTAGTTAGGTAAAAGTAAAATGTTAAAATAAATAAAATAAGACATTATAAATACTTCTTCCAAGTTGTAAAACCTTTTAAATTATCCTTGCATTTTTTTTATATTTAAAGTTTTTAAGATAGTTAACAAATTAATTAAAAATACTTTTTAATTTTGATATTATTTTTTTTAATTTTTTCTTTATTAATTTTTAATTAATTAAAATTGACATTTGAATTATTTAAATAATTTAGATATAAAATTAGTATATTATATTACAATTCCCAAATTAAATTTCCTATACAAAATTATTTCAATTTATAATAAATTAATTAGCCATTTTTTTGTTTTTTTATAATTAATATAAAGTAAATTTTGTTTTTTAATAATTATTTTTACATATTATTTGGTATTTAAATACTGATAGCTACTACTGATGCTGCTTGTATGCTTACTATAATCCTGCTTTTTGTTTTATCTGCTTGTTCAAATTCAGCTCTTGCTCATATTAATCAAAAATCTTAGGCTTTATAAAGAATACAAAACGATGAGTTTTGAAAATTACTGGTTTAAAATTAAAAGGTAAAAAAATATATAAATAGGTTTATAAAAAAATCATTTAAAATAATAAAATAATTTTTATATAGATATTTCCAAAATTAAAAATTAACTATTTTAAATAATCAAATATAATTTAAATTTTATCAACTTAATGTTATTTTTTTAAAATTTATCAGCTTAAACTAATTAAAAAAAATTAAAAAGTTACCTAGAGGAGGAGGTGGGGGGGGGGGTCTTAATTAATGAGAGGATACAGTATTTTTTATTATTTAAAATTTCATTAAAATTGTCTTATGAAAACATGAAAACATTTAATTCTTTATTTCAATGTAAATTTTATTTTTTTTAACTAACTTATTTTATATTTTAATAGCAACTTGTGAAAATTAATTTCTCAACTTGTTTATCTTTTTAATTTTATTATTTAATTAAAGCTTCTTTTAATTTCAAATTCTAATAATCAATTATAATTTTAATAATTTATTTGTTACAATATATGAATTATATACATAACATAAAATAGAATAATTCACTTATTTTAAATAAAACTTTAATAAAAGCTATACTTTTTATAAGCTATCAATCAATTTAAATCATTTTATATTTCATAGGATACCAAGGGTTGTAAAGAATAGTCTAATTTTTAATTTATTTGCATTTTTTTCATACATACTATCATTTTTTTAACATTTTTATTTATTTTCATATTATCTGTAGATTTTAATCTTTGAATACATCTCCATTTTATACATTTTTTTAATTTTTAAATTTATTTTTCTAGAAAAGACATTATTATTAGCCAAATACAATAAAAGAAAAACAGCATGTTACATATCTAAATTATTAAGTAAAACGCTATTCTAAAATCTTGAAAATTATTATCTTCATTCTAATTCTACTGCAAATACATTGTTGACGAGAGAAGTATCATGTTTGAAATTATTATTGATATTATTTCTAAATTATTTAAAAATGATGAGATGAAAGGATTAAATCTTATTAAAGCTATAATATAAGTAAATAACATTATAGAAATCATAATGAGACTAATCTAAGGATATTACTTCAAACACACATAAAATAAAATTATCAAACATTTCACTAAAATTCTTACCATCTCCCAATAGAAAAATTTTGTTTTATATTCAATGTATAAAAACCCAAATGTAAACATGACTTTGACTTTATTTAGTCTCTTTCGTGATTAAATTAGCTTTGCAAATATTAAAAATGGGAAAACTATCAAAAATAATGTTAATATCACTAAGCTTAAATATTATATTTTTTTGAGTTCTGAAGAGTTTCCACATTCCAAGCTTAGGTCAATAAGAGAATAATATTTATCCTTGTCAAGTTTTAGACAAAAGAAACTACTAAGCGTTTTTCCTAATAGAATTGAGTAAAATACTATCATAAACATGTATATTAAAGTGAGGATAGAAGCATATAAACTTCTTCTGAATAGCTTCCTTTTTAAAATAAATATACAAATTGACACAAGAATTGTTAATGAGCAAATAAATATTGGGATCATAAACGTTAAAAGAAGTTCAGTGTATCCTATGTTAGTTGATTCAGGTTTATACTGAGAAATTAAGCAGTTTAAAGAGAGAAAGGAGGAGCTTAAGGGATTGTAGAGTAAAAACTAGAACTAAAATAAAGAAGAAAGTATATCCACTTTGGTGAATTAATTTGATATGAAATAAATTTAAGTATGAAACAGTAAAATCTTAATGTAAGTAGAAGTCAATGTCTATTACTGCAATGTTTTCCGAATGAAAAAAATACCCATTTTAGATAAATAAAGTGCAAGAATTTCATTTTTTAGCTTTTTAAAGGTTGAATATAAAATAAAGGGTAGACTTACCATCAAAATAGTTAGCAATACTATTATTTTTATAGTATTAGAAGAAATTGAATTGCACTTTACACATTAAAAGAAACCCACATTAGAAAATCTTTCATTCCAATAAGCACCATAAAGATCACAGTTCAAACATTAGGCTCCTACATGACCTTCATAGCAAAGCTCATTTCCTATTCCACTACCTTTATTTAGAAATATTTAATTTAATAAATAAGTTATTAGTAATTAAATTTAATTTACCTCCTTAGCAACTTGAAGGATTATTAGAACAAAAGTAAATATCTTAAGGCTCTACTGAATATATTGATCTCCAATATGATGATTTTAGCTCTGAGTAATTTCCATAACATTATGAAAAATATTCAACTTAACATTATTGACATACTCCATAGTAGCTTACCTTCATTTATTCACAGTATTAACACATAAATTGCATGCTTGAGTATTTATCTAAATATATTTTTTCCATTCCTTGTTCTTTACAACCGTTATATATTTTATACTAACTTTCTTTTAAAGTATAAAGCTATGCTAAATAAATTTAAATAGCTTCTAATTCTATAACTTATTTATCACTAAAGGATATATCTTTTGCAGACCATAAAATAAAGGGAAAGTTGATAGAATAAAGTTGATTAGGGGTTTAAGAAATAAAATTTTATGAAGGTGAGACTAAAAAGTTATAGAGATTACCAAAATTATTGTCATTTGTGTATTGGTTATACGATTCTCCATCTACTTCTATAGACAATCTTACAATATAGGTTAGTCCAGGATACAAATATTAATTAGTTTATGTAAATAAATTTTTATCATTATAATTCATTTAATTTATCTCTAAAATATCTAAAATTTTTAACTTTAAAGGATATTTATTTACTATGTTTGCAGCTAAATAAGCTTTATTTTATTAAAACGAGTTTTTATCTAGATCATCATTTAACTCCTAAATAGCATAAATAGCACCACCTATTTAGCTACTGCATTCAATAAAATTATTTTATTATCCAATTTAAGTTAACCCAGAAATAGCACCTCCTAAATAATTGCTCCTGCATTATTTAAACGTAGTATCGTAAATTTTTATATTTTAATTTTAATTAGTACTAAAAGTGTTAATAAAATTTAAGCAACCACCAAAGTTAATAGAAGATCCATTTATTATATTAGATGATTGCATATAAAAATAATAGTTAGAGCCATCTAAAGTTAAGAATTATAAGTTACTTTTAGATTATAAATCTGCATCAACTGCTTAAAATTAGATATGGTTTTAATTTTATTCTAGTTAAAAAGCAATATAAAAAATTATAGATTGTTTTTGGTCTGTGTTTATTTTTTTAAGTTAAATATTTGAAAATCTACTATCATCTACATTTTTTAGATTAAATAGAGATTTTTAATTGATAAATATTTATTATATGTTTAAATATTATAAATCTAAAGATTAAATTTATTAAGCATTTATCAAATATCCATAAAATTTTGTGTTTACTATATCAAAATTTTGGAGAATCAAATTGTTAATAACTTCTAAATCTATAAAGCTAGAATAAATTACTAAATTTGATAAAGAAATATGACTTATTTTAAAATATTAAGAATTAAAGCATAAAATAATAGATCCTTTTATATTTTCACTATTTAAAACAGTTAAAGAATTAAATTAAATATCTCCAGTATTAAAAATTTTAATTAAACTTTCTTAGCTATTAGATTAAATAGAACCACAAAATCCTTCTAGAATTATTTCATTGATAAAAAAAGATTTGATCAATTTTACATCTAATTACAAAGAGCTACTACTATCATTTTTTTTGTAAATTAATTTACCAATCTCTACATTAGATGATTAAATTGAATTTTAACTGAACTATATAACTTCAATGTATGAAGAAGTAACAAAAGATGAATAGTATGATATCAAACCTATTTTTATATTTCCTTATTTATATTTATTTTAAAAAATTTAAATATCAGCAAACTTATTAAATATCTAAGTATTAGAGATATTAATCTAACTTATATCTATATTTATGCTCTAAATATTTATCTCATTATTTGAATTGTAAATAGGATCATCAAAGCATTCATTAAATTGAACAAAACTTGAATTTAATATCTTTGATATACTTTTTATCATTAACTTATCTATTCCAAAAAAATATAGTTGACACCCTTAAGAGTTAATTAAGCTTATTTAATCTATTTAAATAATTTAAGAGGTGAGTTAAATTGCTTAGCTGATGAAAAGATCTTTTAGAAAAATTTAGCCTATAGTAATTGAATTAATATCATCTGCATAAATTAAAATTTAAAAGTACTCTTTTGATTTAGAAATACTTATATTTTTTATTATTAAATCTAATATTTTTTCAAAAGATATAAATTTGATTTTTTAAAATTAAAGATTTTCTAAATTAAGGCTATTTATAGTAACAACTTTGACATTCTAGATTACTATCTAAGAAATAATCTTCGAATCTTTTAAATTTAAGTCAAAAGCTATTTCATCTTAATTTTCTACTATTATATTATCATCTTAGCAAGAATATATAATATTTTATTCATTTAGCTATTGTATTATATATTAATCACAATTTTAATCTCCAATTACCTTCATATTTAAATCATCTTATGATTTTGTTTATAAAACAAAGAAAACTAAAATTATTAGATAAAATCTAAAAAAGTACATTTAATCTTTTTATTTTTTTCCTTTTAGTTAATTTTTTTTAGAATTAATTAATGATTATAAATTTTTACCAACTCTGTGATAATTAAACAATAAAAGCAAAGATTATTTTATACATTAATTTTGCAGAAGAAAATATAATAAGATTAATTTCTTATCACTTTTTAATTTTTATTAGAAATCCATTTAACTATTTTTATCAATAGAGAGCAGAAATTTTCTGATAAACTAATTAATTAATTTACTGTAAAATGTAAAGGCTTTTTGCCTTATTTAAAATCTAAACCAAAAAAAATACAGATTCCTATTTAAAATGTAGCTGTTTTGAAAGCACTAATAATTTCTTAAACAAGATATTTTATAATAGATTTAAAATTGAAATTGAAATTTTAAATAATTTTTTATTTTATTTTTAGCGTAGTTTTTAATTTATTTTATAATAAAATTCTTTTTTTTATAATTGATTACAATAAATATAAATCACAAAAAAACATTTTAAAAAAAATTTCATTTTTAAAATTAATTTATTCAATAAACTATTTATAAATTTATGATATTTATCAAGATAAGCAAAATCTAAAAGCTAGTCATATTATATCTTAAATTATTTTTTCCATTATATAATTAAATTAAATATAAAATAAAAGATATCAAAATCAGATTTTTGAATAAATAATTAAAAAATCTATTTCATAATAAGTCAATTCCAAACGACGGAATTTTTGAATGGCATCTTGCTATAAGCTGACCTTGATAAAAGGCAGTAACTTAGGGCACTATATATATTTTTTTATTATTTAAAATTTCACTATAATCTACTTTATAAAGCATAAAATTTTACATTTATTAGAAATTCTATTATATTTATATTCGTAATAACTTATTTAACATTTTAATTATATAACTTGTCAAATTTAATTACTCAACTTATTTATTTAATTTTCTTATTTAAAAAAAGTTACTTGTTAATGTAAAATTCTAATGATAATTTTATTTTTAACCATTTATTTAACACTATATGAATTATATACCTAACATAAAATATAATAAATCAACTTTATAAAATAAAATTTTAATCAAAGCAATACTTTTAAAAGCTATCATAAATCAACCAAAATCATTTTATATTTCATAGGATAACAAGGGTTGTAAAGAATAATCTAATCTTTAATTTATTTGCATTTTTTTCATACATGATATCATTTTTTTTACATTTTTATTTATTTTCATATTATCAGTAGATTTTAATCTTTAAATACATCTCCATTTTATACATTTTTTTAATTTTTAAATTTATTTTTCTAGAAAAGACATTATTATTAGCCATATACAATAAAAGAAAAACAGCATGTTACATATCTAAATTATTAAGTATAACGCTATTCTAAAATCTTGAAAATTATTATCTTCATTCTAATTCTATTGCAAATACATTGTAGACGAGAGAAGTATCATGTTTGAAATTATTGTTGATATTATTTCTAAATTATTTAAAAATGATGAGATGAAAGGATTAAAGCTTATTAAAGCTATAATATAACAAAATAACATTATAGAAATCGTAATGAGACTAATCTAAGGATATTACTTCAAATACGTATAAAATAAAATAATCAAGCTTTTCATTAAAATTCTTACCATCTCCCAATAGAAAAATTTAGTTTTATATTCAATATATAAAAACCCAAATGTAAACATGACTTTAACTTAATTTAGTCTCTTTCGTGATTGAATTAGTTTTGCAAAAACTACAAATGGGAAAACTACCAAAAATAAGATTAATATCACTAAGCTTAAACATTATATTTTATAGAGTTCTGAAGAGTTTCCACATTCCAAATCTAGGTCAACAAGAGAATAATATTTGTCCTTGTCAAGTTTTAGACAAAAGAAACTGCTAAGCGTTTTTTCTAATAGAATTGAGTAAAATGCTATTATAAACATGTATATGAAAGTGAGGATATAAGCTTACAAACTTCTTCTGAATAGCTTTCTTTTTAAAATAAAGATACAAATTGACACAAGTATTGTTAATGAGCAAATAAATATTGGGATCATGAACATAAAAAGAAGTTCAGTGTATCCTATGTTAGTTGATTCAGGTTTATACTGAGAAATTAAGCAGTTTAAAGAGAGGAAGGAGGAGCTTAAGGGATTATAGAATAAGAACTAGAACTAAAATAAACTAGAAAGTATATTCACTTTTGTGAATTAATTTGATATGAAATAAATTTAAATATGAAACAGTAAAATCTTAATGTAAGTAGAAGTCAATGTCTATGACTGCAATGTTTTCCGAATGAAAAAAATACCCATTTTAGATAAATAAAGTGCAAGAATTTCATTTTTTAGCTTTTTAAAGGTTGAATATAAAATAAAGGGTAGACTAAATATCAGAATAGTTAGAAAGACTACAATTTTTATAGTATTAGAAGATATTGAACTACACTTTACACATTAAAAGAAACCCACATTAGAAAATCTTTCATTCCAATAAGCACCATAAAGATCACAGTTCAAACACTAGGCTCCTACATGACCTTCATAACAAAGCTCATTTCCTATTCCACTACCTTTATTTAAAAATATTATAATTTAATAAATAACTTATTAATAAATAAATTTAATTTACCTCCTTAACAACTTGAAGGATTATTAGAACAATAGTAAATATCTTTAGACTCCACTGAATACATTGATCTCCAATATGATGATTTTAGCTTTGAGTAATTTCCATAACATTATTAAAAATATTCAACTTAACATTATTGACATACTCCATAGTAGCTTACCTTCATTTATTCACAGTATTAACACACGAATTGAGTGCTTGAATATTTATCTAAATATACTTTTTCCATTCCTTGTTCTTTACACCCATTATATATTTTATATTAATTTTCTTTTAAAGTATAAAGCTATGCTAAATAAATTTAAATAGCTTCTAATTCTATTACTTATTTATCACTAAAGGATATATCTTTTGCAGACCATAAAATAAAGGGAAAGTTGATAGAATAAAGTTGATTAGGGGTTTAAGAAATAAAGTTTTATGAAGGTGAAACTAAAAAGTTATAGAGATTACCAAAATTATTGTTATTTGTGTATTCGTTATATTATTCTCCATCTACTTCTATAGACAATCTTATAATATAGGTGAGTCCAGGATACAAATATTAATTAGTTTATGTAAATAAATTTTTATCATTAGAGTTCATTTAATTTATCTCTAAAATCTCTAAGATTTTTAACTTTAAAGGATATTTATTTACTATGTTTGCAGCTAAATAAGCTTTATTTTATTCAAATGAGTTTTAATCTAGATCGCTCTTTAACTCCTAAATAGCATATATAGCACCACCTATTTAGCTACTGCATTCAATAAAGTTATTTCCTAATCCAATATGAGATATCCCAGAAATAGCACCTCCTAAATAATTGCTCCTGCATTATTTAAAGGTAGTATGGTAAATTTTTATATCTTAATTTTAATTAGCACTAAAAGTGTTAATAAAATTTAAGCAACCACCAAAATTAATAGAAGATCCATTTATTATGTTAGATGATTGCATATAAAATTAATAGTTAGAGCCATCCAAAGTTAAGAATTATAAGTTATTTTTAGATTATAAATCTGCATCAACTGCTTAAAATTAGATATAGTTTTAATTTTATTCTAGTTAAAAAGCAATATAAAAAATTATAGATTGTTTTTGGTTTGTGTTTATTTTTTTAAGTTAAATCTTTTAAATGAAGCTATCTTTTACATTTTTTAGATTAAATAGAGATTTTGAATTGATAAGTATTTATTATATATTTAAATATTTTAAATCTAAATCTTAAATTTATTATGCATTTATCAAATATCCATAAAATTTTGTGTTTACTATATCAAAATTTTAGAGAATCAAATCTTTAATAAATTGTAAATCGATAAAGCTAGAATAAATTACTGAATTTGATAAGGAAATATTATTTATTTAAAATTTTTCAGAAGTAAAGCATTAAATAATAGATCCTTTTATATTTTAACTTTTTAAAACAGTTATAGAATCAAAATTAATTATTCCAGTATTATAAAGTTTAATAAAACTTTCTTAGCTATTAGATTAAATAGAACCAGAAAATCCTTCTAAAATTATTTCATTGATAGAAAAAGATTTGATCAATTTTACATCTAATTACAAAGAACTGCTACTATCATTTTTTTAGTAAATCAATTTATCAATCTCTACATTAGATGATTAAATTGATTTTTAACAGAATTATATGACTTCAATGTAGGAAGAAGTGACAAAAGATGACAAGTATGATATCAAACCTATTTTAATTTTTCCTTCATTAGATGAATTATTAAATATGTAAATATTAGCAAATTTATTAAATATCTAAGTAAGAGAGATATTTATATAACTTACATCTATATTTATGCTCTAAATATTTATTTCATTATTTGAATTGTAAATAGAATCCTCAACGCATTCATTAAATTGAATAAAACTTGCATTTAATATCTTTTATATACTTTTAATCATTAATTTATCTTTTCCAAAAAAATATAGTTGACACCCTTAAGAGTTAATTAAGCTTATTTAATCTATTTAAACAATTGAAGAATAGAATTAAATTGATGAGTTGATGAAAAGATCTTTTAGAAAAATTTAGCCTATAGTAATTTATTTAATGTCATCTGTTTCAATTAAAGTTTAAAATGACTTAATAGACTTAGAAATACTTAAACTTTTTATTATTAAATCTTATATTTTGTAAAAAAAAATAAACTAATCTAATTTTTAATATTAAAGATTTTCTAAGTTAAGGTTATTTATAGTAACAATTTTGACATTCTAGATTACTAACTAAGAAAAGATATTCGAATCTTTTAAATTTAACTCAAAAGCTATTTCATCTTAGTTTTCTACTATTATATTATTTGCTTAGCAAGAATAATTAATATTGTAGTGATTTAACTATTATATAATATATTTATCACAATTTTTATTTTTAATTACCTTCAAATTTAATTCATCTAATGACTTTGTTTATAAAATAAAGAAAACTAAAATTATTAGATAAAATCTAAAAAAGTACATTTTAATTTTATTTTTCCTATTTATTTATTTTTTTACTTTTGGTTTGTTTTCTTTGGAATTAATTAATTAATTATTATTATTATTTTTTACCAACTCTATACTAATTAAAACAAAGATTATTTTATACCAAATTATTTTGCAGAAGAAAATTTAACAAGATTAATTTCTAATCACTTTTTGATTTTTATTAGAAAAGGACTTTTTTTTTTGATCATTAGTTAGTTAGTAGAAATTTTCTGATAAACTAATTAATTAATTTACTGTAAACTGTAAAAGCCTTTTGCCCAATTTAAAATTACATCAAAAACAAATACAGACTCTTATTCAAAATTTAGTGGTTTTGATAGCACTAATAATTTCTTAGACAAGATATATAATAGATTTAAAATTGATAATGTAATTTATTTTAATTTTAAATAATTGTTTATTGTATATTTAACATAGTTTGTTTTAATTTATTTTCTAATAAAATTCTTTATTTGAATTTATTATTATATTTTTAAATCACACATTTTAAATAAAAAAATTCTATTATTAAAATTAATTTATTTAATAAGCTATTTATAAATTTATTAAATTTATGATATTTATCAGATAAATAAAATATTAAAGCTAGTTATATTCTATCTTAAATTATTTTTTGCATTATATTATTTTATTAAATATAAAATAAAAAAAAATATATTCTATTATTCAAATATTTTTTTTATTTTTTATCATTTATATATCATCATTACTACTAAATCATTTTGATTTAAAGCACTTTATTTTTTTTAGTTTATTGATTTAACCTCTTCTATTAAAAAAAATTATTTAAAAAAATGAATTGAAGTAAGATAAAAAATTTATTAGTAGAGTTAAATCAAATTTAAAGTTAATATATACTGTATTTCCTTGATCATCATCTTTAATTTTTAACGATATTTTAAGAAAAATTAATGATTTAAAAAAATATGGGGTCTTATAGTAGGGGGGGGGGGGGGGGATCTTAATATAGAGAATATACAGTATTTTTATTATTTAAAATTTCACTATAATCAACTTTATAAATCATTTAATTTTATATTTATTAGAAATTCAATTTTATTTATATTCATAATAATTTATTTTACATATTAATTATGTAACATGTCAAAATTAATTTCTCAACTTATTTATTTATTTTTTTAAAATTGTTATTTAAAAAAATTACTTTATAATTTAAAATTCTAATGATAATTTTATTTTTCATCATTTATTTATTACACTATTTGAATTATATACCTAACATAAAATATAATAAATCAACTTTATAAAATAAAATTTTAATCAAAGCAATACTTTTAAAAACTATCATATATCAAGCAATCAATCTAAATCATTTTATATTTCATAGGATTACAAGGGTTGTAAACAATAGTCTAATCTTTAATTTATTTGCATTTTTTTCATACATAGTATCATTTTTTTTACATTTTTATTTATTTTCATATTATCTGTAGATTTTAATCTCTAAATACATTTCCATTTTATACATTTTTTTAATTTTTAAATGTATTTTTCTAGAAAAGAAATTGTTACTAGCCATATACAATAAAAGAAAAACAGCATGTTACATATCTAAATTATTAAGTAAAACGCAACTCTAAAATCTTGAAAATTCTTATCTTCATTCTAATTCTATTGCAAATACATTGTAGAAGAGAGAAGTATCATGTTTGAAATTATTGTTGATATTATTTCTAAATTATTTAAAAATGATGAGATGAAAGGATTAAAGCTTTTTAAAGCCATAATATAACAAAATAACATTATAGAAATCGTAATGAGACTAATCTAAGGATATTACTTCAAATAAACATAAAATAAAATAATCAAGCTTTTCACTAAATTTCTTATCATCTCCCAATAGAAAAACTTTGTTTTATACTCAATATACAAAAACCCAAATGTAAACATAACTTTAACTTAATTTAGTCTCTTCCGTGATTAAATTAGCTTTGCAAATACTACAAATGGTAAAACTATCAAAAATAAGATTAATATCACTAAACTTAAATATTATATTTTATCGAGTTCTGAAGAGTTTCCACATTCCAAGCTTAGGTCAATAAGAGAATAATATTTATCCTTGTCAAGTTTTAGACAAAAGAAACTACTAAGCGTTTTTTCTAATAAAATTGAGTAAAATACTATTATAAACATGTATATGAAAGTGAGGATAGAAGCATATAAACTTCTTCTGAATAGCTTCCTTTTTAAAATAAATATACAAATTGACACAAGAATTGTTAATGAGCAAATAAATATTGGGATCATAAACGTAAAAAGAAGTTCAGTGTATCCTATGTTAGTTGATTCAGGTTTATACTGAGAAATTAAACAGTTTAAAGAGAAAAAAGAGGAGCTTAAGGGATTGTAGAGTAAAAACTAGAACTAAAATAAAGTAGAAAGTATATCCAATTTGGTGAATTAATTTGATATGAAATAAATTTAAGTATGAAACAGTAAAATCTTAATGTAAGTAGAAGTCAATGTCTATTACTGCAATGTTTTCCGAATGAAAAAAATACCCATTTTAGATAAATAAAGTGCAAGAATTTCATTTTTTAGCTTTTTAAAGGTTGAATATAAAATAAAGGGTAGACTTACCATCAAAATAGTTAGCAATACTATTATTTTTATAGTATTAGAAGATATTGAATTGCACTTTATACATTAAAAGAAACCCACATTAGAAAATCTTTCATTCCAATAAGCACCATAAAGATCACAGTTCAAACATTAGGCTCCTACATGACCTTCATAGCAAAGCTCATTTCCTATTCCACTACCTTTATTTAGAAATATTATAATTTAATAAATAACTTATTAATAAATAAATTTAATTTACCTCCTAAACAACTTGAAGGATTATTAGAACAATAGTAAATATCTTAAGGCTCTACTGAATATATTGATCTCCAATATGATGATTTTAGCTCAGAGTAATCTCCATAACATTATTAAAAATATTCAACTTAACATTATTGACATACTCCATAGTAGCTTACCTTCATTTATTCACAGTATTAACACACGAATTGAGTGCTTGAATATTTATCTAAACATAGTTTTTCCATTCCTTGTTCTTTACAACCATTATATATTTTATATTAACTTTCTTTTAAAGTATAAAGTTAGGCTAAATAAATCTAAATAGCTTCCAATTCTATTTCTTACTTACCACTAAAAGATATATCTTTTGCAGACCATAAAATAAAGGGAAAGTTGATAGAATAAAGTTGAGTCGGAGTTTAAGAAATAAAATTTTATGAAGGTGAAACTAAAAAGTTATAGAGATTACCAAAATTATTGTTATTTGTGTATTGGTTATACTATTCTCCATCTACTTCTATAGACAATCTTATAATATAGGTTAGTCCAGGATACAAATATTAATTAGCTTATGTAAATAAATTTTTATCATTAGAGTTCATTTAATTTATCTCTAAAATTTCTAAAATTTTTAACTTTAAAGGAGATTTATTAACTATATTTGCAGCTAGATAAGCTTTATTTTATTCAAATGAGTTTTAATTTAGATTACTATTTAAATCCTAAATAGCATATATAGCACCACCTATTTAGCTATTGCACTCAATAAAAAAGCTATTATATAACTCGATATAAGATATCCCAGAAATAGCACCTCCTAAATAATTGCTCCTGCATTATTTAAATGTAGTTCCCTCAAGGGATATTACTTAATTTTAATTAGTATTAAAAGTGTTAATAAAATTTAAGCAACCACCAAAGTTAATAGAAGATCCATTTATTATGTTAGACGATATCATAGAAAATTAATAGTTAGAGCCATCTAAAGTTAAGAATTATAAGTTACTTTTAGATTATAAATCTGCATCAATTCGTATAAATAATACCTCATTTTAGGTTTATTTTCGTACTAATTCAATATAGAAAATTATAGATTGGTTTTGGTTTGTGTTTATTTTTTTAAGTTAAACATTATCAAAGTTACTATTATCTACATTTTTTAGATAAAATAGAGATTTTGAATTGATAAATATTTATTATATGTTGAATTATTATAAATCTAAAGAAAAAATTTATTATGCATTTATCAAATATCCATAGAATTTTGTGTTTACTATATCAAAATTTGAGAGAATCAATTCTTTTATAAATTCTAAATCTATAAAGCTAGAATAAATTACTGAATTTGATAAGGAAATATTATTTATTATTAATTTTTCAGAAGTAAAGCATTAAATAATAGATCCTTATATATTTTCACTTTTTAAAACAGTAAAAGAATTAAATTCAATAATTCCAGTATTATAAAGTTTAATAAAACTTTCTTAGCTATTAGATTAAATAGAATCAGAAAATCCTTCTAAAACTATTTCATTGATAGAAAAAGATTTGATCAATTTTACATCTAATTACAAAGAACTATTACTATCATTTTTTTAGTAAATCAATTTATCAATCTCTAAACTAGATGATTTAACTAAATCTTAACTGAACTATATAACTTCAATGTATGAAGAAGCTACAAAAGATGACTAGTATGATATCAAACCTATTTTAATTTCTCCTTCTTTAAATTCATTTTGTACAAGATATATATCAGCAAATTTATTAAATATCTAAGTATGAGTGATATTTATATAGCTTACATCTATATTTATGCTCTGAATATTTATTTCATTTTATGAATAATAAATAGAATTTTCAGAGCATTCAATAAAATGAATAAAACTTGCATTTAGTATCTTTTATATACTTTTTATCATTAATTTATCTTTTCCAAAAAAATATAGTTAACACACTTAAGAGTTAATTAAGCTTATTTAATCTATTTAAATAATTGAAGAGGTGAATTCAATTGCTGAGCTAATGAAAAGATCTTTTAGAAAAATTTAGCCTACAGTAATTTAATTAATTAATTATGCATAAATTAAATTGTCAAAGGACGTCATAGACTTAGAAATACTTATATTTTTTATTATTAAATCTTATATTTTATAAAAATTTATTAACTGATTAAAAGCTTCAGATTAAAGATTTTCTAAGTTAAGGCTATTTATAGTAACAACTTTGACATTCTAGATTTTTATCATAGAAAAAATATCTGAATCTTTTAAATTTAACTCAAAAGTTATTTCATCTTAGTTTTCTACTATTATATTATTTACTTAGCAAGAATAATTAATATTGTATTGATTTAGCTATTATATAATATATTTATCGCAATTTTCATCTCCAATTACCTTCATATTTAATTCATCTTTAGATTTTGTTTATAAAACAGAGAAAGCTAAAATTAATAGATAAAATTTTAAAAAGTACATTTCAATTATTTTTCCTAATTATTTATTTATTTTTTTACTTTTAGTTTGCTTGTTTGGGATTAATAAATTATTATAAATTTTTACCAAGTCTGTGCTAATTAAATAGCAAAAACAAAGATTATTTTATACCAATTTATTTTGCAGAAGAAAATATAATCAGATTAATTTCTTATCACTTTTTAATTTCTATTAGAAATAGCTTTTTCTATTTTGATCATTGGTTAGTTAGCAGAAATTTTCTGATAAACTAATTAATTTGCTGTAAACTGTAAAAACCTTTTGCCTAATTTAAAATGAAATCCAAATAAAATACAGACTCTTATTTAAAATTTAGTGGTTTTGATAGTACAAATAATTTCTTAGACAAGATATTTAATAATAGATTTAAAATTTATAATGTAATTTATTTTAATTTTTTTAAAATAATTGTTTATTTTATATTTAGCATAGTTTTTAATTTATTTTTAATATAATTCTTTATTTTTATAATTTATTATAAGATATTTTAATCATAAAAAACAACCATTTTAAAGAAAATTCTATTTTTAAAATTTATTTATTTAATAAACTATTTAAAAATTTATGATATTTATCAGATAAACAAAATCTTAAAGCTAATTATATTCTATCTAAAATTATTTTTGTATAATATTATAATATTAAATATAAAAGTAAATATTTTCTATTATTCAAATATTTTTTTAATTATTTCATCATTTATTTATTATCATAAATCAATTTTAAATACTACTAATCTTTTTGTTTTAAAGCACTTTCTTTTTTTGGTTTATTGATTTAACCTCTTCTATTAAATGGTGTAATGCTTTATTATATAATATGTATAGGCCTTGGAAAAAGCAATACCTTAGTGTACTATATATAAATATATATATATTTATATTATTATTTAAAATTTAACTTTAATCTACTTTATAGAGCATTTAATTTTATATTTATTAGAAATTCAATTTTATTTATATTCATAATAATTTATTTTATATTTTAATTATGTAATTTGTCAAAGTTGATTTCTCAACTTATTTATTCTTTTTTAAATTTTCTTATTTAAAAAAAGTTACTTTTTAATTTAAAATTCTAATGATAATTTTATTTTTCATCATTTATTTATTACACAATAT